TTTTATGCATTAAAAGGTTTTATAGGCTCAATTATTTCAAATGTAGTCTATCAGGTTCCTTCCAATTTGGATATTGATGTAGTATAACAATTAGACCAACCTCATAGCCTAGAGAATTGTTTGACATTTATTGTCTACCAATGTTCCTGGTTCTCTGTAAAATTGTGACACATTATTAGGGTTGACAGAGTATGTTTATGATAATAATATTAAATATTTTTATTCTTATTGTACCCTTATTATATGTTCCTCAAATACAAAATCTGTATCTCACCATTTGTTACTTCACTATATTGAGATATCACGTCAGATATAAGTTATTTCTTCTGCTTTGAATAATGGTTACAAGTTTCACATTGTGTTCCAGTCAAACATCACACATTTATTAGTATATTACACATGTAATTTGATGCCATCATTAGAGGATATCTACCATACATTTTACAACAGCATTGATATAAATTGCAGAAAAGTGAATTTAAAGCATTTCTTTTAACTAGATTAGCAAAGTGTATGTATTGATACATCAAAATATACACTTAGTGTAGACACTATGATGTTAAAACACAAATCTGTTACATAATCTTTATCCACAAAATACAGGCTGAATATAGAATCCACTTATTAAGAAGATGAAGAGCTGAGAAAAAAACATTTTGGTTGTATTAGCCCAGGCAGAGGTACACACAACCATATTAATGAAAGCATATAAACTTAGTGTTGATTGAGGTTTTTGTAGTTAATATAATGTCTCATTTATTTGATTTATCCACATGGAAGTCTTTTTCTAAGAACACAAGATAATGCAAGGTGACAGAAGGCCAGCTGGTCCATTGATATAATACATTATATGAACAAACACACACAAAATTCACCCAACTTAAATGTAGCTCAGTACATCCTTGTGCCTATCTTAAAAATATTTATCTATAATTCAAACTAATAAACTTTACCACATCAAACCATTTTACAGCTTTATTAAGTTGGAAAAAAATTCTTCTGTCAAATCATAGATTTGCATCTATGCTTCCATAAATTAAACTTAATTCCTTTATTTAGGTTTGCATTTCTAACCTTTTTAATTGCACCCCGAAACCTTCCATTGAAGACTCCACACCTACAGGGATTTTGTATCATTCTCATAGCCCACCTGTGCATCTCTCACAATATGTTGATATGCTTGTAGTAAAGGAAAAACTATGCTTTGTAATCCAAATGAGGCCTCACCAGAATCTTGAACAATAATCCTATTGTTCTTAAATTCAGAATTTTTATAAATAAAATAAAGAACTTCATTCTTCCTTTTTCCTACAGCTAAATGCACAGCAGAGAATTTAAGGATTTTATCAACAACCACACTTAGAGTATTCTCTTTTTTTCCACATCGACAACATTCCTCTAACAGAAGAAGTAAACCCTTTTCAAACTTCCATAGTCCAGGTGCCTAAATTTAGACTTCACAGTGTTAAAACTCATATTTTACATTCTTGTCTATTCAGTAAGATGGCCAACTTTCTTTTGAAATATTATTATGATCAGAAACATTTGAACCTAATGATTCTGATGTGTAATGTAATTGTTATTATTAGCAAAACATTCATGCAGTACCACAGAACTCCCTAACAACAACACAAAATTGTGCATCTGTATCATTTGTTAATGTAGTTGTGTGTGATAGCAATTCTGACAAAAGTAGATGTTTACTTAGAAAAGGTACTAAAAGAATATAATGTTGTAAACTTCTCTTATTATACCATGACAGTAGTATTCACTCATGCAAAAAAAAGTACTTTTATTGTAATAGTAAACATAAAGCCAGTTAGAGATGCTCAAGTGACAATGGGCTCTTCAGTGACAATAATTATACTACAGCTGAAGATTTGTGTGTTTGCATCTTTTCCATCATAGTATACTGCTTGCTTGTACATATTTTTTTCATCACAGTAAACTTGCACACTATTTGGCCTGTCCTTTTTTAGATTCAGTCTTTGTATACTGTTCAGGAGAAAGCATTTCTACCTATATACTAAAGGTAATTTTTTTATTCACAGTTTTCTCATGGGACTTTCAAACTTGTAAAAAGCTACAAATAGAACATAAAATGGTATTTGTATTTTTAAGTTAGGATTTTTATCACAGTGTGGTTCTTGTAAATGTGCATGGCTCCTGAAACTCAAATGGATAAGAATTCTTGACAAAAACATTATCCTAATGTTACACCCAGAACAATTGAATTGACAAGAAACAAAATTGATTGAATGTATTTAATTACTTTTGAAAGTGCAGCTGCTTTTATGTCTGTATTTGTTTCAATATGTAATGTAATTTGTGCAAGCTTACGAGTCTCTTGGAATTATTTTACGTCAAAGTTGGTCAGGGGCTAAATTGACCATGGAGTAGTTTTGAATTTTATTTTATTTTTACAAGTAACTTTTTTTAATAGATTGTTCTACAATGACTAACATTATGAATATTTTATATAATTAGTTTATTTAATTGACAAAATGTTTGAATTTGGCTAGCCCAACAGAAAGAAAATTTTACATAAATCAGTTCAAGTTAGAATTCTGGGAGCTTCAGTATATGAGAAGTAGCTTCACTTGTGAGCAATCTGTGTTTTCACTATTTTTACAGATGAAAAATGGCAACAGTGATTCAGAAAACATTTGGTGATATTTCACTAGACACTGATGTAAAAGGTGATATCTCCTCTTCTGATAACTCAGGACTAGTTATGGATGGCATAGATGAAGACATCATTGATCCATGGACAGTGGTTAGTAAGTCAGCAACGGGAGTTGATTATGACAAACTAATAGGTAAGATAGTTTTATATTTTATAGATAAACAGCAGTGAGATTTCTTCTACTTCTAAAATGTAGAAAATCCATTTTATAGTAAAATTTAAATTCTTTAACATCTCTATTAACTCCAGGTATCTTAAAAAAGGTTATACTTTGCATTATAATACATTGTACATTTACTTTGTTGGAATTTATTTTAAAAATACATACAGAAGAACCAAGCAAGTGACAGAAAATTCTTAGCCCTGCTGGTTAACTTAAAAATCATTCAATCACAGATTTCAATTACATATTTGTTGAGTCTAACTTTGCCTTTTAAAGTTATGCACACTAATTCATCTGATAAGCCTTTTTTTGAAAGAACTGTTTGAAGTAGAAGTAATCTTTTTTAAAACCAAATGTAAAATTGATATATTATGATAATGAAAAAATATATATATGTATGCTGTATTTCAAGCCTTTTGAGAACTCGGTATATACCTGGTAATTGTTAACACATGTTCAGTAGTTTACCCTTCATGAGAATCTTGTAAAAAGTTTGTATTTAATTGAAATCCAAAACGAGCTGGGAAAAATTAAGTGCACTTGAAATGAAAACTATCTATTAGGTTCAAAGAAATCAATGAGAATAGGCAACATTACTTATAGAAATAACTAGAATCACTAAAGGTACAAAATTAATATTTTTCTGTATGAACTGTAAGCTGCTATGTTGGACTGTTTTTTTTATGAAAGAAGATTCTTTTAAACTTCTTAGGCATTTAAGTCTGGCCATGAAATTAATTTGCTTTCTTTTTATTTATGAAACTATAAGCAGATTGTTTTAAAATATTTGTTGCCATTGATGATTTTTATTGTCTGAGATTTCCATTTGATGGTACTGTATTTGATTATCAAGGTTTAAGTACACGTGTAGCTGTGGACAAGATAGAGAGTAACACTTACAAGTTGTAAAGATTAACAGCTTTATATGCACAAATTAAGTAATGAAGAACAAATTCAAACTTACAAAAATACGAAGATGATTACCTCACCTAGTTTCAACATACCACTTGTGTCATTTTCAAGGGCATACTATGTGTGTGTGTGTATACCCTTGAAAATGACGCATGTATGTACATTGAAACTAGTCAGGGTAACCATCTTCATATTTTTGTAAATTTGAGTTTGTTCTTCATTACTTAACTTGTGCTTATAAAGCTGTTAATCTTTACAACATTTGTAGATAGCACAAAGTACTATTTAACTTGATTAACATTTACAAGTGTTGAAACAATACAGCAAATTTTAAACAGTGTCATGGGGTAATGCCTATCATAAATTTTGAGCATAGTTCCTTCTAAAAGGGTTTAGGGTGTCCTAGAAAAGTCCTTGAAAGTGTAATCCCATCTCTGGACATCCCCCTTTTTTGTTGATGATAAGTGATATCACTGTGCTTACCTCAGTTTCTCGAAAAACAATCTATAGAAAATGTAACGTGTAAAATGGGAAATATGCTGACTTGGTAACACTAATCAGTAATAGGCTTTGAACTATATACTACCAACTATTCATTTGGAATAATATTATTAATATAACTAAACTCAATATTTATTTCATCTTTTAAAATATTATAATCACAAATTGCTATTAGATAAAGAAGGTGAATGTTTCAGAATTTTTCTAATTCCAATTTCAGTATAAAAATTTCAGAAATAATTAACAA